AAACCTCCTTTGCCTGCCCACCTCACATAAACTCCTCAACTTCTTCAGATTATTCCCAGATGGTGAGGTCTTTGTTTCATAGGCAAATTTGAATATCTGGGATTATATGAGTGGCAATTCAATTATTTTTAATAGATGTGGTTGGGAAAAGGAGTGGTTGGCACCCCATATCCCTAGGGTCTCCTCCTTTCATCTCTAAATGATCCAAAAGTACAAGGCAAAAGCAAATGATCATAAGGAAGTATGAAGGTCAAGGGGTCCCTATTAACATAGGACCTTAGCACAGTCACATGCCTCAGCCTAAAATATAAAACCATCTTTTCATTTAATTTTAGTATTTGTTAAATTCCAACCTTTGAAAATATTCTACATCTTACGAAAGTAGTCTAGGAAACTTCTACCAGTACCTAAGTAATATTATTGTTTTAATAAACTTGACTATTATTTCCTTATTAAATTCACATCTTCCCACTTTACTTTTAGTCATAGATTTACAAATGCCTTCTGTGAACCTTCAAGAACAAACTGAGACAGCAATTTGTAATGATTTCCCATATTGTGTGTTTTTAATGTAAATAAATTTTAACTCAATGGTTACTTGGAGGTTCTCATACCTTTCCAGTCCCAGGATTTATTGCCATTCACTGTTTGCAGGCTTGGGGTCCTTCCAAAATGTTCAGAGTTCTCTGGATGTAACTCTTCATACCTCCAGGAAATTTCAAGGAGGGTCTATGAAATAAAATCGCAGCCAGGCCCAGTGGCTCATGCCTGTAATCCCAGCAGTTTGGGAGGCCAAGGCGGACAGATCATGAGGTCAGGAGTTTGTGACCTGCCTGACCAACATGGTGAAACCCCGCCTCTACTAAAAATACAAAAATTAGCTGGACGTGGTGGCGTGCACCTGTAATCCCAGCTACTCAGGAGGCTGAGGCAGGAGAATTGCTTGAACCCAGGAGGTGGAGGTTGCAGTAAGCCAAGATCACGCCACTGTACTCCAGCCTGGGTGACAGATCAAGACTCTATCTCAAAAAGAATAATGATAAAATCTCTATTAGATGTTAGAGAAAAAAATAGTGCCAACATTTGTTACAAGATAGAGGGAGTAGGCTTCAGTTGTTCTGAAATGGTTTTTAATCAGAGAATTTCATTTATAAAGAAACTAGATACATTAAACTTTGGTGTAGTGAACTGTTTTTTCCTTCATGCAATCAAAATTCAGCTCATAGCCTCCTACCTTGACAAGATTCTGAGTAATCTCATTCATCATTTCTAGCCAAGTAAAGAAAACATCAGTAACTTAGATCATTAGAATGAACATACACTGTACAGTATCCCCAAAAGAATTTGACTAAACCAAAAACAATCAAATTGACTTGTATGGGAAAAAACCCCAAACAATAAAATATTAGCAATCTGCAAACCTACCATTCAGGTACTATGGAACTAAGCCAGCCGGAATCACTCAAGGAACAGAAATGAAGCCAATTTACTGTGTTTGAATGTCAGAGGGATTTTCAAGTAATAGCTTGTAAAATGAAGGGCACCTTTAGAGTTCAAATGTAAATTTCAACAACCTAAATCCTTCCTTCAGAGGGTAACAATCTTCAGGAATTCCAAAAGAATATATTCCTAATAAAATTATAAGCTTCTTTTCTGCAAATGAATTCTGCTATTTCTGTCATGTTCAATTTTCTTTGTTTTTGTTTTCTTACTTCAAAAGTCAGCTTCAAATCTTCTTGTGTAAATAGATGGGATTTAAATTGTAAATACATTATCGGGAAAAGAATTAATATTTTGAGTATCTACCATGCACTGGGTGCCTCATAACTTAATCCCTATAACACCCCTACATCTATCCTCATTTTATAAACACCCTAACTGAAGCTTGGAGATGTTATGAGATTTTCAAATTTACACAGCTTCTAAGTGACGGATCTGAAGATATCACTTACACCCTCGTGACTCCTAAGCATGCAGTCTTTATACTAAGCAGCTCTGCTTTTGTTGTAGAACTGGATTGTAAATATAATGTTATATTTAATACATTATATTATAAATAAAATATATTTAATACAATTAATTGTTGCATTATTGTATATATTATATGTATAATGTATTTTACATATAATGTATAATGTATTATACATATAAGTCATTATGTACTATTGTATATGTTTATGTATAATGTATTCATTCACCCTGCAAAACGATTTGTGATTTCGGTAAGATTCTCTGACATTACTTACTATAGGAGTCAGGACCAAAGTCATGTGTCATGATCAAGTATGACCTATCTGATTTGTTTTGGTGTACTCTAAAACAACAAAAACTTGTCCTGAGTTAGTAATTCCATGCCAGGGCTAGTATCACTGTCACCATGGAGACAAGCAGCCAACTGGCTTCTCCTTTCTTTTTTTTTTTTTTTTTTTTTTTTTTTTTTTTTTTTTTTTTTTTTTTTTTTTTTTTTTTTTATTTTTTTTTTTTTTTTTTTTTTTTCTGCTTGTGTTCCTACTTTCCCATTGTACCAATTGTGGTCCACTGCCTCACAACCATGCCATCAGCCATCTTAGAGAGCAGAATAAAAAGTGTATTATAGCTGTGGAGAATTTCTGATATCAACTGGATATGAATTTTATGCTGCAGAAGCACCAGTGTGTGTGTTTATATATATAGGCATCCAGGCTTTTTAAAATTATTTACCACATACCATCCACCTGGAATCCCTCTGTCTTCACTATCCTTTCTTACCTGGCAGGCTCTTTTTGGGCTTTTCAGTTGCTCTCTTTCAAGACTCTTTCTGCAATATTTCCTTTGTGTATATGATTTTCCTTCCACACACTATGATATAATGATCTGTCTAGAGGCCTGTTTCAGCCATTATATTGGAAACTTCTTGAAGGCAAGGTTGGGGTTTAATAATTCTTCAGTGCTTTTATATAATAAGTAAGAAATAAAGTTTTTTTAAATAAAATAATAACTTTACAGTTCCTTCAGATAAATCTAAAAATATGTAATAGTGTAAATTATGTGAAATTTCCAGGGAAATAATTTTATTTATTTTATAATAAGTCCCTCAATAACTCAACAAGACTATAAAAGACTATAATCATATGTCCACTACTATTTACCGAGGTATATGACAAGGTAGAAAGCAGCGTAGACTCAATAGGCACAATTCTATGAAGATATTTATATATCTTAGTATTTAGAAATAATTGGTATATATTTATGGACACTTCTGTTTTAAAAGTTTGGTCATTTAATTGACTCCTTCTTTGTCCTAGTAACTTATTTTCAAAGCTACAAAATACTATGCTACCTTAGAATTATTTTTTTCAAGAATGGCCCTAAAACAAGGTTGGGGAATAGACCTTTCCAAGTATACATCCCTTTGACCACTGAGAAAGTGGAAACTGAGGGTAGAGGCTTCACTCCTCTGTCCCTCGTCAGCTGTAGTCACGGACTCATGATAGATGACCCTTCTGTTAGGCTTATGCAGTCTGAGAGGAGCTTTAAAAACTGTAACTTGGGAGGAAACTGCAGTGAAATCCAGCTCCACTTATTAGGAGCTGAGTAGCCTAAGCTCCAGTTAACCTTAGTTTTAAAAACTATAAAATGAGTCTAATACTCACATCCTAAACAGCTTGTGAAGATTAAATGACTTAATACATGAAAACCATTTGGATCATCCTTGGCACATAGTAAACACTATATAAATGTTAGCTAGGGAAAGGCAATGTGGCTCAACCTTCGTTTTAGTGTTCCTAGCCTTATTTTTTTCTTTGCTAACTAAAAAAAATAAACTTCCAGGTTATATTATGTTTAAGTCAAATCTTTCCTTCCATAGGAAAAAAATTAACAATATTAAATTGATATTTTTCTAGGCATATGACCTGTAAGTTATGAAACAGTATGTTTGGGTTCTATAGATACTTAAATATGCTTAATAATCAACCTGTATGAGTGTAACAACTACAAGAACACTATATGATGAACAGAACTTCATGTGACATGACAGCCTACATCTGGAATGTGGTGTGCATGCAACTCCAATAACTTTGCTTGCTAAACCATATTACACCAAAGAGAACTAATTTTTGTGAATTCTGAAAAAGGAAAACTTTCAGTAAGTAGGCAGGTCTGCTGACATTTGATAATATCTAGTTGTCAGTGAGATTTTAGAAGGTCCACATGCCCATCTTGCATGTTGATTTCTGGATGAAAAACACGCAGCGGAAGTTTACGGAATGAAAAGTAGTGATAAAAGGTTTTGCAAGCAATTTATACGATACCATAAGATAGCTAATGTTGACAGTTCATGGCCTGGATGGTATTGGTTAATTAAAGAAATCTCTTGGGATAAAGAAGAACTTGGAAATGATTGTAGGTTTTCTTTCTTTTGTTATAGCTCATAATAAACTCAGAGACTTGAGAGAAGCTCTCAAGGTTCTATAAACCTGAATATATTTTCCCATTGGCTAATTATTTACTTAACTACAGGTCATTTATTATGGTGGAAAAAATATATCTGTTCGATATCAAAAGGCCTATGAATTTCAACTTTCTTTTATTGGTCCTATTATAACATTTGAGAATTTTTAGTTAAATGGAAAAAAATAGTGATTTCTTTTATATTAAGACTCCCCCTCAGCTTCTGGGATTTTAGTTTCCATAATTTAATGTGCATTTTAAAGATAAATTGCTTAATTTGAGTGCGTGTAAATTTTCTATTAATGAAGTCCAGTAGATATATTTAACATTGTATATACATCTCTGAAAAATAATGTATTCTGAAATGGCTCTGAAGATAACTGAATTTGTTAAGGTAGCTTCTTAAAGATCTCACTTAATAACAGCTTTCTTATTGCATAATAATATGATTTATAATTGGCTTGGTATTATGAATTATGCATGTAGGGGACAGATCTGGCTTTTTAGTTGTGGATATTAGATATGTTAATACTTTTTTTTCAATGCCAATGTCTACATTGTATGTACAGGACAAAGCCCGGCCATTCCACCTCCATTACCGACAGAACAAGCTTCCAGTCCCACCCCGGCATCACCTGCCCTTGAAGGCAAGTATTTTTTTCTTCATAGATCTCTATTGTAGATAAAATATAATATAGAAGAGCAACCATAAAAAATAGTAACAAAGCAACAGCAAAATCCAATATGTTCTTACATACCTTTAGTACATATAAACTACAATTTACTTTTTCTAAAATTGCAATTTGCTTCTTTTTAGGCAATCAAAAATGTCCCCTTAAGATTCTATATTGGTGACCTTCAGTTTTCAGAAGGATGTCCACTTTAGCACTTTGGGAATCAAGCAAAAAAATATACAGGGACAAACAGATAAGGCTATGCCTTGCAATTCTTGCAATTTACCACAACTTGATCAATTTAGTCTTTGAAGAGTCTGGTACCAGATTTGCTGGGTTTGAATCTGAGCTCCACCTTTTCCTAGTTTTATAAATTTGGGAAGTTATTTAAATTAATTCTTCATGAGTTTTGCCATCTCTAAGATGAGATAAGCAGAGCACTGATCTCCTACCATTATTGTGAGAATTGAAAATATATATATATACTCACAAACACACACACATAAATATATACTGTTGAATGTATATGTATCGTTTATAAGTGCTATATACAATTGGTAGTTAATACTACAAATAATTCTTGAAAATATGATATCTCAAGATCAGCATTGTAATAAATTTTGCTGGAAATTTAAAGTCATTTCTTTAAGTCTTCATCCATTTCTTCAGCTTTTATTAAATCCCAACCGTGGGATCATTCTGGATATTGTCCAAAATACTGGGGATTCAGAGATGAATAGAAAACAGTTCCTTCTCTATCAAGACTCAATTTGCAGATGTAAAAACACCAGTAATTAAAGCTAAAAGCCTCGTTATTTTTTTACAAGAGGACAAATGGAGGTCTCCCTCAGATCACAGCCTCCTCTACAAAAAGGTAGAAACCTCTAGCTCTGTCCCATATTGGAAAGGATTTTCTGTGTGCAATGTGGATGCCCCAGCCTGCTTGTTCAACAACTGCCCATTGGTTTTGGCTACCCCTTGAGACTAAGTGATGACACTCATAAGGATTCATCCAGGAAGAGGCTACTATTGTGTATCACCTACCTAGAGAGTAAACAAGTGATTTAGAAACAACCAGTCTAAAAACAGAAAATAGAGAGAGAGAAAAAAAAAATCAGAGTTACATTTCTTTTGGCATTTGGACTATAATAGTTCATATGACTTGAGAGAATTTGACACAGAACTGACAATCTCTCTGACCAAAATGTTCACTGGACAAGAAAACACCTATAAATAATAACATTGCCTTAATTTTTCATGGGATTCTAATTCTGTTGTTGTTTCCAGATGGGCATAAAGCAAGGAACTCAGATTTCCCAACTTGAGGGAGACTTTGATAGTCAGATTATTCAAGCGTTTGGCACCAAGTTATCTCCTAGCAGAGGTTCATGAAATACCAAGTAGCAAATATTTTGCCTAGCAATCTGTCACTTAGAAAAGGATGTGTCAATTGTTAAGTAGGACACTTGGGTTCTGTTATTTCCTTTAAAGAGCAATGTAATTTGACAGTTCATCCCAGAACCTAGTACTGTGTTATGGTGAATAAAACAACAAGGTTTGAGGATCACAAGACTTTGTCAGTTTCTTTTCTGAAAACGCAGAGCATGCTAACCCTGAGCAGCTCCAAGAGTCTATATTATCAGGCAATGCTGAGATCATGGGCTTTGTCAGGGCTTGCAGATGTGCTGCTTGTGACTTCATTAACATAATTGATTAGGAGCTAGGACATATTTAGTATTAATCAAGCTGTTTTTAGTGAGGCTGATTATGCCAGTCCTCTTGATGCACTATTTTAGTCTGGAACTTCCTTAGAACCAAGTAGAAAAAAAAGAAAGAAAGAAAGAAAGAAAGAAAGAAAGAAAGAAAGAAAGAAAGAAAGAAATTCTATAAAGGCTTTATGTAAAAAAAAAAAGAAAATTTCATGTGGTACTAAAGTATGCTATTTGATCTGAGGAATGCAATTATAATAGGTCAAAATGTAGGAGCACATACATATTTCAATTTTAATGTTTTTTAAAACTAGAGCTCATGTATAGACTAGATTATTAATTTGTTCACAGGAGATTAATAAAACTTCATTAGTAGAAATCTAAAAAAATTGTGGATCTCTTTGTGGGTAAAAGAATACTACACATCTATAAATCTGAAAAGCCAATACTCCACATCTGTAAAGCCCATATATAAAAGCCTTCTTTGTGCTTTCATAGCACTTAAGAAACGAAACTTCCCACAGCACTTGCTTTGTTCTGGGAAGTATCTGTGTACTTCTTATCTCAGTCCACTTATTTAGTGCCTCGAAATTGGTCTAACCTTTCTTGGATTTCCATGTTTTCCCATATTGCATTCTTTGTCTGCTGTAATGAAGTTTTTATTACTTTGAATTTTTGGATACAAAGGGATTAATTATATATTAAATCATTTATTTCCTTTGACTCTTATTTTATTTTTTAGAATTTGTTTGTCCAGGAATAATTGGCTACAATAGGCTTTTAAAAGATCTTATATAATAACTACTTCATATCATCATTCTGGTCATTGTTATTAATTTGTATTTAATTATGGATATAACTGAAACTAATTTAAAATGAATTTAAGTATAATGTTAGTTCTCATATTTTAAACAATTTTTAATTTCTGTGTCTGTTGGGAGCTCTTACAGGGGCTGAAATAACTACCAGTTCAAAGGAACACTGTAGTTATCCATTCATTTCACGAATGGAGCCGAATTGCGTGAGTTGTTTTCCTCAAATCAAGTAGTTCCTTATAATATTAACATTATAGGTAATTTTAGCTCTTAGCATGAAAGGTCCTTTATCATCAAATGTTTTTCAGCATTCCTGCTAACCTCTTACCCCAAGAACTGTATTTCTCAGACTCCTCAGTGGTTAGACAGAACAATTTGAGGCAATGTTGCCAATCCTCTTCCCAATTACCAAGGAAGGCAGAAAAGCTGTTTTATAAAATCCTTGTATATGCAAATTTACCACATATGATTCCATTCATCTTTAATCAACAATACCAGATGATTTATTTCTCCCTACTTTCACCCACAAGTAATTATTGGACATTTAGTATAAAATTACCAGGATTCCTCTGTTGTAACAAAGATGTGGAAGAAATAAGTTAAGTTCTACTTAAATTACTTTTAATATTCCATTAAGTACCTGCAGTCTACATGAATGAAGCTGAATACAGAAAGGTAAATTACTATGAAGTACCATATATCTTGTTGAATAAATATATGACTGGTACTTAGTGTTGCAATTATAAATAATGTTATAAATGCTATCACTTGTATATTAACAAGAGAACTCTAGAGAGAAGACCAGAGTCTAGCTCAGTCTCAGCTTTGATACTAATGAGTTGTATGGTCTTTGACAAATCAGTTGACTTCTTAGGACCTCCATTTCTTCACCTATCAACTGCGGGGACCAAACTTAAATAGTCTCCAAAGTCCCTCTGTGCCTTTATACCCAAAGATTTCATGCCTATTTTTTTTCAGGCTGGTGGATTGGTAATAAACTGCCATAAAAACAGAGTGAACCCTACATATAAACCCTACATAGCTTTGCCTAGTGGTTAAATAGCTGTGATAGATATGATAGAGATGTCAAACTTGTTGGGACAATGGATAATACTATGAAACATTATTTACTGAAACCCAAAAATAAGCTACATAGATCATAAAGGCTGTCGAAGTTAAGAGGAAGATGAGATATGAATGAGGCAAGGTTATGAAGTGAAACCACAAGTCTTTCATTGAACCATAAAGAGAAAGTTAGTTGAATTTGTATAGATACAAAGGAGAGAGTAACATTATATAAAATTTATTAGAAAATAATTTTTTACCATAGGATGCACCTGAAGACAATATTCTACAGGAGCTAGTAAGGTTTTATTTATAGTTCTATTAAACCAAGAACTTTATTACCTTAGCTCCTCAGTGAGATATAGCCTGAGAAGTAAAAAATGAAATAAAATAATAAAATTGAAATTTGGCCTCAGTTTTTATTTTATTAATTCTATGACATAATAGATATTATTGAACTTCAGTTCAACATAATATTTTTCTTTGTTTTGTGGAGAAATAAAGTCATATCTTTAGGTGATTTTTAATAGGATTGGTCTTTAGTTATAAATTATGATGAATTATTTAAACCTGACTACTTTTACCACCTATTTGATTTAGAGAGTTGCTAATAACAACATAGCACATTTTCCAGCACACTTAGTTACTCAACAATTGGTTGCTATTAATATTATTTTTTTTATAACAGGAGATTTCTTATACATATAAAAAACCATTGATTTTATGGTAGCTTTTTACTGGTATCCATAGAAGCTAGTAAGGTGATTGCTTTCATGACATCAGTCAGTATATGTAAAACCCTAATATGGTTTCTCAATACAGGACTGGGACCATATTGTGGAAGGCTCTGTGCACACAGCTAAAGCTTTTACATCTCCTTACAGACTGTGTGGTACTGCTTAGGCAATTGAACAGAGAGTAGTATGATTAGATTTGTCTTTAAGATTATGTGTTAACTATAGAAAGGGTAGATTGGTGAGGGGTGAGCTTGAGAGTTGGGACTATAAGACAAATTTAGGAGAATATTGCCCATGGGAAGACTTATTCTACTTTTCTTTTAAACAATCACATTTTACTCTCAAAACAACTGCAAGCAGTGAATATGATTTATGTCATTTTACAGAGAAGATTGGAGAAATCAAGTAAATTGCCTAAGATAACACAGCTCTAAAAATTGTATAACTGGAATTGGAAGCCAGGTGTCCCCTACCAAGGCTCAGTCTATTTCTGTTTCCTGAAATGGCAATTAAGTGTTAGAGCTGAGTATAATTGCTAAAGTTCTTATCTGACTTGGTTAATTGAATGGCATTAAGAATGAAAACAGGTTTTGAGAGATAATAATGAGTTCAGTTTGAGGCTTGCTGAGCGTGTTGAGGTCCCTGGA